AGGGTTTAGGGTTTAGGGTTTAGGGTTTAGGGTTTAGGGTTTAGGGTTTAGGGTTTAGGGTTTAGGGTTTAGGGTTTAGGGTTTAGGGTTTAGGGTTGGGTACTTATAACCCCAATTTGCAAGTCTACCTAGAACCCTACATTATGGGTACTTATAGCCCCAATTTGTAAGTCTTACCTAGAACCTACTGAGGGGACTCAGGGGCTCTTACTCTTATGGAACCCGTGTTTTTTTTTTGTTGTGGGTGCTTTTTTGCTGTGGGTGCTTTTTTCGGGGGCCGCCCCGGTGAGTGAGTGACCTGGCGCGTGTCGCCCCCGCACCCGCAGCAAAAAAAAAAGGCGCCCCCGCACCCGCAGCAAAAAAAAAAGGGGCCCCCGCACCCGCAGCAAAAAAAAACCGCGCCCACCCCCCCCCCCCCCCCCCTCCTCCTCCCCCCCCCCCTCCTCCCCCCCCCCTCTCCCCACCCCCCAGTTTATTAATTGAACCTCGCGCTTGTCTCCCCCGCACTCCTCAGCAAAAAAAAAAAAACGCCCCCCCGCACACCGCAGCAAAACAAAAAAACGCTGCCCCCGCACCCGCAGCAAAAAAAAACGCGCCCCCCTCCCCCCCCCTTCCCCCAGGTCATTTGTTTTTGCAATTTCCTCCCCAACCCCGTCCCCAACCCCCCCCCTCCTTTAAACTGTGCAAGCGTTTTCAAAGCACTGAATCCTTCCCAAGGCCATCATGCGAGCATTGTGTTTGCTAACGGTGGAGGGAGGGCTGCACCCCGCCCGACCCCCCCCCCCTCTTTAAAACCGTGCCAGCTAGCTTCTCAGCATATGAATCCTGTCCAAGCCTATCATGCCAGCATGGGGTTTGCAAATTGGGGGGGGCTGCGCCCCCCCCAACCCCCCCGCTTCTTAAAGCCATGCCAGCTTGCTTCAAAGCAAATGAATCCTTTCCGAAACCATCCTGAGAACATTCCCCCCCGCTTGAAAGGGGGGGGGGGCTGCGCTTTTTAGCCGGGCAAGCTTGCTTCAATCATACGAATCCCTTCCAAACCCATGATGATGCGAGCATTGTGTTGCAAATGGGGGGGGGGGGGGGGGCTGCGCTTTTTAGCCGGGCAAGCTTGCTTCAATCATACGAATCCCTTCCAAACCCATGATGATGCGAGCATTGTGTTGCAAATAGGGGGGGGGCTGCGCCCCCCCCCAACCCCCCCGTTTTTTTTGGCCGGCAAGCCTGCTTCAAAGCTTACGAATCCCTTCCAAACCCATGATGCGCGCTCCAACCCCCTGAAAAAACAGGGAATATATGCCTGCTTTCCTACGAAAATTCAGACCTTATAGTGGAAGTTGAATTTTCCGTTTAAAAATAGAGATATAAACGTCTTCTTAGTAAAGAATCGAGAAAATAGAGCTTGTGTTATGAGACATGAACAAAAACACTTGTTGTCTACGAGTCACAGATAGAGATAATATGTACTCTTATGACAATATAGAGAATTAGCTTTTCATGTATTCCTCTCATGTCTTCCTCGTGAAATAAAGAGAAGATGTCTGAAAATACTGACAAAATAAAAAAAACTATAGAACAATAGAGGTTTTCGCTATACAATATAGAGAAATTAGATGTTTCCTATGACAACATAGAGGAAATAGAGGCTTTCATACGAAAATATAGCGAACATACAAAGTGTTTTCATATCAAAAAGTAGAGGTCTTGATATTCAAATATAGAGAATAGAGGTCTTCATGTTCAAATGTTAAGACAATGGAGGTTTGCCTATTCAGAGACAGAGAAAATAATGGGCTTCCTATTAAAATAGGACAAGAGGAACAAAACACTTTTAATTGCAAGTCACACATTGAGATAACACAGACAATAAGTTTCTCATGTATTCCTCTCTCATGTCTTCCTCATTACATATAGAGGAAAACTATGACGATATAGACAAAAATAGAGAGAAATAGAGGTTTTCGCTATAAAATATAGAGAAATAGAGGTTTTCGAATTAAAGTAGAGGTTTTCATACTAAATGTAGAGAAAACAGAGGTTTTCATATTCAAATATAGAGAAGAAAGAGGTTTTCCTATTCAAATATAGAGAAGAAAGAGGTTTTCCTATTGAAAATTAGAGAAAATAGAGGTTTTCATAGTAAAATATAGAGAAAACAGCAAAAACGCTCCGCACCCGCAGCAAAAAAAAAAACGCGACCCCACGGCACCCGCAACAAAAAAAAAACCGCGCACCCGCAGACCGCAGCAAAAAAAAAAAAACGCTCCCCCCGCACCCGCAGCAAAAAAAAATAACGCGCCCCCGCACCCACAAAAAAAAAAGCGCCCCCGCACCCACAGCAAAAAAGCACCCGCAACAAAAAAAAACACTCTTACCGGCTGAGCTGCTGCCAATGTCACCTGCTCCAATAAGGAGCTGCAGAAGCTCCTTGTAAAACGATTCAGATGGAGAAGGGCAGCAAAAGGGAGCTCCCTGGCCAAGGATGCTTCAGACTTTGGCGTAGAGAATTCATGGACTTAGAAGGCGCACTGCCAGTGAGGTATCGCATGCTCTGTGTTATTTAGTCAATGGAGTTTTGGCTTTTTGGTACGGATCAGGCGACTGGAATAACACATACAGCTCTTGGGCCTCAGGCAAGGCGGACATCACCGTCCATCTGCGTGCAAGTCGAGGCACGCTGCAGGTGGAGGCGCGGCAGCTGATACAGCTTTCACGCATCCTGACTGGAGTACTGCGAACGTTGCGACAGGAAACGGAAACCGAAACTTGCTCAGAGCAACCAAAGCCCCGACCAAGTAAGGAAGAACTCGACAGGGTTGTATCAGAAACCTGTGGTTTGAGGGTTGGGGGACAGCAGGGAAAAAGGCGGGCTGTATCCACTGGAGTCAGCCAGGTCGATTGTGAGTCGGGTTCGAGCTTCGGGTTCCCCCACGCTTAGGATTTACAGTGCACAGGTCTGCAAGCTATCTCGAGAGTCCACGTGCTTTTTCTCGGGTTCAAAGAGCACTAAATGCCTGATTTGGGGTTGGCTTTCATGACATGTCTGGCTTCGAGGGCTTGCTGCATGCCCGGAAAGTGTATTGCTAGGGTGTGTGTCTCGGTTTGGGGCCTTCTCCTGCAGCTCGTGCACGTGTTGTGACGTTGTGGTTTGTGGGGCCCTGGAGGTTCCGCTACTTTACCAGCCGAAGGCAATCTTAGGTGGTGGATTGCCTCAACCAGGCGCGCGCTCTTTGCTTCATCTTGCCGATCTCTGGCGGGTCTGAATGATGTAATCTCCGTCTGATTCTGCCAAACCATGGCGAGGAGCCAGTGCCCAGCCATCTGAAGCTAGGAAACACGTCTGTGGTGATTAAGTGGTTAGCCGAACAGCTGCACCTGATTGCCAACCCAAATGGCACCGATTCATCCTCTTCGACACGCCTTCAAAGCCAGGGTCACTAAGCAGCATCTTCTCATTCGCAAAAAGGGGCCTTTCAAGAAGATCTTGGAGGTTTTCTGACGTCCTCCCCTGCTGGGCCTGGAAAGCTTTTACTCGCCCTATCTCGACCTCCAGCTCGGGGTTGGTTGGGGCCCACGAGCCACTTTCGCCCGTTTCCGAATGTTCGAATGTTCGGAGAGCTGTTGGAGCTTGACGCAAGTTGGTGCCATAAGAGAGAGACTCAGAGTATGCCAGCGTATGATCGCGTAGGATCGCTAAACCTGCCTATAATCTTAACTGGACCTGATGGGTAGGGAAGCAGCAGCCAATCCAGTCCCTAAACAACTCACGTGTGATTTGTCCTGAGGGCTTGGACACGTGGAGGCCTGGGCTTGTGCCAGGACGCCAATGTGAAGAGTTGTGCACTGACCTGTCAGTTTCGCTGATCGCTTCAGGCACTGGCATGCCTTAAGAAGTCTGCCAGGAGTTTGGAGATCCAAAGTCAAGATCTCGTCCTGGACCCGATGTGCGGGAAAGGCCATGGGTCCAAAGTAGCAACTTCGGTATGAGTGATAACTTTTCGTGCCACTTACTAGTGCCAGGCACTCTGCTGGCAGAGGCTGCAGTTTGGTGGCCCAACGCCAGCTTCGTGGGATGCGATGCCGCTTGGTTTTGACATGTTCAGACTTTCCAGCAGCCATGAGCACAAAAGAAGCTTTAATGCTGCCCGAGTCGAGCATGTGTCTTTCTGAGATCCATGTCAGCATATTCATGAAGTTAAGGTAGACAAGCGCCAGCTGGACTGCTGCCGCTGTAACTTTGACTGGCTCCAGAGAAAGATTTCATTGTACCGGACAGATGTCACCAGGCCACAAGGCATACCATTCCCGGACGGATCCGTCAACAAGGTTCTGGTTGCACCCCCATGGAATCGGCAGTTTCGGATTCGTGGGGACCCAGAGGTGTTTTACCGCGCCATGTTCAAAGAGATCCTTCGCGTTCTGCATCCAGCTGGGAAATTGGTCTTTGTCGGTGCAAGTGGGAAGGTGATCCACAAACTTGAGGTCGCCCTCCGGGATGTTCGGGATCAGGCAGTCGGCTCTTGGACAATTGTGGCTAAGCGCAGCTTCTATCTGACACGGCGAGTGACGGGTGTCATGGCAGTGGTTGAAAACGGAGAGACAGGGAATGCTGACGTGGCTGACGTGGGGTGGAAAGCTCTTCCTTGGGAAGGCAAGGCTCCTGACAATGGTCGTGACTTGTACAATCACTGGCGGGTGCTCCGTGCCCTTGAATTTCCCAACCTGCGTCCTGCGTCGGAGCCGCCCAAGACACAGAGCCGCTCCCGATGGCCGCTTCTTCTCATCACAGCTGCACTTCTTGGCTCTGTGGCGGCTTTGAGAAGCCTGAACTGGCTGTAGACTTGGGTTCCATGGGTCACTTCTTGTAAGACCACTGGGACAAAAAGGACCCCCAAGAGGGCCCCGCAAACTGAGATCAACCCCCCAGGTCCAGGCAGATAAGAGAGGAGCCCCCGAGATGCAGGAAGCGAAAAGATCGCGCCGACCCTCAACTGTCTCAATTCCAAAGCATGTGCACAGGCCGCACTGGCAAAACTACAGCTAGCTGGATTGCAGGCCCAGCCGCGGCAGCAGTTCCCGGGGCTCGCAAGGCGGCCTTTGAACCGCATGACGCGAGGTGATGCTACCTGCACGGAGGGCAGTGTAGGCACTCAGCGGTCTGACCAATCCAGGAAACGACAATGACCGGTCAGTGACATGGCCACAGATGCCGCCCATTGAAATACTCGTGCCCCCAGCTCAGCCTACTTGCTATGACTCTTGCCGCTCCACTCATGCAAGCCAACATACCCCAGTCGCATCCAGGCCCCAACCTTCTCGCGAGTCTCCAGCTCAGCATAAGCGTGCAGTCTTGCCAGGTTCTGCACACGGCAATTGTAAGTGGAGGCTGGCATAGGCCATAGGCTGGCAGAAGGGTCAGATCAGGATGAAGCCTTTACCGGATAGCGACCCAAGAACACAAAGTACATGATTACATGCGCAAGAGTCGAAGGTCTCGTGCCCGCCTTCGCTCCACCACGCCGCCGGCTGGGCGACCCACGACGTCGCCTGGCCGCGACTGTGGGATCACCTGCGACTCTCCGAGGCTGGGTATGCATGCTACCAGAGACCAAGCGCAGGCCCGATTCCGCTCGCAAAGCTAGGCCCAGCACTCAGAACGACAATCAAAACATCTTTCAACGTCTGCACTGCGATCCTCCGCCTTGTTGGCCGCCTGAGGGTGGAGAAAGACCAGAAGAAAGAGCTGCAAAGGCGGCCTGTCGTACCTCACTTGACTCTCGCTGACAGGCTGCCCTAGACTCCGTAGACTCCGCAGACAAGCCTGTACTGGATCAAGTGTCTCCAACATCTCTTCGCTGCGTTGCTTGCCTCAGTCCCAGTCGCTCTTCTTGCAGGAACGGAGCAATGACAATCCCATTCCACGATGGGCGACAAACTCGGTGTGCAAAATTCATGTGGAACCAGCTACCCCGTGTCAGACATCCTACGTACGACAGCGCAGTCCTGCGTTCGGACGACGCGTTCTGCATCGAAGCGTAAGCGCCTAACCAGGCCCAAAGGTTCAGCGCCCTGGCCTCGGGATCTGTGTCGCTAGTAAATGAGTGGTGGCATCATGGTAATCTAGAGGCTGGGCCAATGGCATCGAGTGACTGGTGTGTGTGTGTGTGGAGTAATTACTGGTGTGTGTCACGTGTGCTGCCTATTTGCTGTCGAGGCCGCAACCTCCGAAGGCTCGAGTGCAGGGCTTTTGGACGGCTTGGGGAAATCTCGCGCCCGTACCTTCGGAATCCTTCAGATGCATTCAGCAGCTTTGCAGGGATTTCGGGTGACTTGCCACTGCCATTCTCTTTTTCTCCATTAGTTGTTGATGTCATTAGTATTACTTGTTGTTTGCTTTCTTTTGTTTGTACCGCCATATTGTCATGTTATTGGTTAAATCAAATAGCATATTATCATAGTATCAGAAGATGATAGTATCCATTATATGAAGAACTTATATCAGTATATATTAATGTCTTAAAAAGTTAATATTGTATTCTTACAGTGTCATTTTCTGCTACGAATACATCATGACATTGTCATATCCTGATATTATGATATCACTATACCATTATATGATCTCTAATTACACTACAAGACTACTCTAGTATTATTATGATATCACTATCTCACTATATGATCACTAATTATCCTACAATCCTACTCTAGTAGTTGTCGCTTGCTGCTCGCCAGGGTCTCCTGGAGCGGATGGAGCAACGCCGGGAGCAGCTCCAAGTGCCCAGAGCTTAGGGGCGAAGCTCGGGTTTTGTTATTACTAATCAGATTCTGATGATTATGTATGCGTTTGAGAATTCTGATGAGAATCATATTATTGAACAATTGTTGTTAGAATTGTGATTGTTATGTTTAGACTCTTTCTGTATTCTTGCAGCTATTGCAGCTGACAGCGCTTGTCCAATTCGGGGTTCGTTCTTGCTCGCTGCCCCGAGGAAGAAGGCCGAGAGGATCAAAGACATACAGGCGGAACTGGCTGAAGAAAGCTTGGGCTTCTGTAGGGGCCGTTCTCAGATTGCGGGGGTCTTCCGAGCTCGCGGCCCATCGGGCAAGTGGCCACAGCTGAAACTCAGGAAGCAAACTGGCCCCCCAGACGTGCAGACACGCAATGCAGAAGGTGTGCTTGTGAACAATTTCATACTCGGGTCATGGGTCACATTTCTCCCGGAAGACATGCCACTCCCAATCGTGTGCGGGGCTGTTGCCAGTGTGGTGTGTGTGTGTGTGTGTGTGTGCTTGGCGGCGTCTTATCCCACGAGTCATGCTGGAGGAGCCGAGTTTCTTGCTCTCTAAGCGGCTTGCAGACACAGACTGCGCCGGCTGCTACCGACCGGCAGCGAGAAACTGCGCAGGAGGCTCAGCAATCCTCAATTTTGAAAATCTGCTAAACTTGTGATCCGCAACCTGAAGGGCCAAAATAGCTGTCAAACTCTATCAACGTCTACGCCTGGGCTGCCCATCTGCTGGTTGAAGCCAAGCCAAGGAAGGCTGGGCGTGGCTTGATGCAGGAGCCTCTCTTCTCCGCGTGCTCCGTGTGCCATGCGAGCGGGTCAGGAGAGCAGGTCATCTGGAGGTCATCAGGCACACGGTCTCACAAGGGTGACTGTCGTTGCTGCAGGATCTGCAGGCTTCTCTGTATCATGAGGCAGGTTGAATTTTACAATCGATGCGATGGACACCACCTTCTGTGATTCGATGGCCGTTCTCCATGCACTTGAACATATTGGAGTAGGACAAAAGGTGTGTAGAGCCCATGTTGTGATGTTGCATGCTTTCTGGGTGGTAGTATATACTTTCCTAGGGGCCCACCTTAAAAGCGCTACATAGTGCTACTGTCAGGCTCCTGTTGGTCTGTCTGAGGGGTGCTCATCCTCGAAAGCTGACACGCTCACCAGCATGTTGCGCAACGCTCAACGAACACAGGGCTGTGTCAGCCGCTCATCTGACCAGCAGTTGCCCGTACATTCCTCGCCCACATTGCAAGTCCATGCCACGCCACAGCCATGACGAGTCTCCGACGAGGCAGGGCACAGCATTGCAGAATCGAGGTGGTTCGGAAGCTTCCTGGGAGCTTGTACCCTTTGCCTGGTATCAATCTATTGTGTCTCTGAAATTGGGTCCACAGGGCCGTTGGTGCCTCACGTGGCTATGAAGCCCTGGAGATCATCGGTCGAGGGAGCTTTGGGTGCCCTGGCATGTCTTCAAACGGTGGGTGTTCAAGCCTTCGTTGCTCTCTTGGGAGCACCTATCATTGACTGCCAATCGAAGATGGTTTGAGGGATTGCAAGATGGCTTGTTCACTTAGAAAGTCGCGTGGCGCCGCGGGTTGGGCATGTAATGCCCCTCGCCTGTCGCAAGAGATTAGAAACATCTTGTGCCAGATGTTCATGTGACCTTAGGTGTGCAATTCTGGCTCGTGACGCAAGGGGTCGGCACAAAGCCGCTCAGTGGCATGAAAGGTTTTGGGATGAACCCACAGCTGGGAGTTGAAGCAGGGCTGCAGGTACAGGACGATGGCTGGGTTTCGGGTCTTGAGATTCAAAGATGGGCCTTGGGGGATATGTTTCCAACTACATGCTTGCCACTGCGAAAGTCTGGCAACGGGGCAGCTACTGGCACTGCTATATTTAAGACTCCGTGAGCAACATGGCAGGTCATGAAGATCATTGACCTGGAGCATCCTCCCAAGATGTCATGACATCTGTTGTTGAGCTGTCTCCGGCTGGCCTTCACAAATGCCTCCCCCAGACATCCCGCCAAGGTGTGCATCTGATCGCCGGAAGCGTGAAGCTCCGAAGGAGGTGCCAACTCTGCCAGAATGGTGCAGAATCAGGTAGTTGCAAACGTACTACTAGGTTACTAGGTGAGGCCTGTGGCCGCATGCGTGTATATACATCACGCCCCACAGCAGCTGATGCATTGGGGGTCAGCATTCAGTCAGCCTGTTGGAAAGACCGGAGGCAGAAATCATGGAGAAGTTGAAGCATCCCTACATTGAAGCTTAGCTCAAATTCCGGGCCAGCACAGCTTATACAAATTAGTGTGCCAGGGCATTCTTCTGTTGAAGCCCTTGAGGTACGGATTCACGAGTCTTTTACAGAGGACAACGCGCTTGTCATCGCCACTCGGTGCTTGCAGGGACTCTGCATCGTTTCGGCACTTTGGGGGACCTAGGGCTGTGATACTCCCCGCACTGCACCAGCACCAAAACACCATGAATGCCCCCCAAGCTATTGGGACCCGTGAGTGCCAAGCATTGCACAACATGGTGTTTTGCGCTTGGCGTGCAGTCCCGGGTGGCTACTGGCGAAAATCGCCGCTGTTGCAGGAAAGAAGGAGGGATGCATGTCAGAATCTTGAAGTGCGGAGGGGTTGGAAAGGGGGGATGGAGATCTCCTCCTGCAGATCCTCGGCGGCAAATGAACTCTAACCTGCCCATAGCCTGCCCATTTTCCGGGGGTTGCCTGGAAGGGGTGACTGGGCAACGTGAAATCAGCAGAACAGCCGTTTTTGACCGTTTTGGCATAGTTTGGCCAAGTGATTTGGGTCGGCCATGGGCTGGAGGTGATGGAGTACGCAGGGGCCGGCGACCTGCGCAGACAGGTCCGGACAGCCAAGCCTTGCTTCTGCTACTAGGACCGACACTGTAGTTATACTGTAGTTTAAGCAAGTCACATGGTACACCGTCCTTGTAGTCAAGACAGCAGATAAAAAAGGCAAAGGCTCTCCCCGGAAAGCCTGAACAAGAGAGTGACGCCGGCTAGCAGGCATGGTGTGCACCGTTCGGGTGCTGTGCCTGGAGGTTCATGGGTACTTCATGGTACTTCTAAGTAGGGGCAGAAGTACCCTAAGTGGGGTTCATAAGCAGATTTGCCATACTTATAACTACCCTAATGAAAGTAAGGGTCATAAGTACCCTAAGTGGGGTTATAAGTATAATTTGCCATACTTATAACCTTACTTATGACTACCCTAATGAACCTCCAAGTGTGCTCTGAGCAGGTGAAGGACGCCCGGCGTCGCGAGAGCAGCTTTCCCGAGTCCAAGATCTTGCGGCGACGTGGCGGCAAGAATGCCCCCAGGATTCGCTGTGTATTGTGAATGATATACAGCATATACACAGCCTACATTCGCTTCTCATAGCCTCCATGTGTAGAAGCCATGCCAGTTCGCGTTCTGGGGTGGACTTGATCAGGCAGTGAGGTTGGCGGATGGGCCGGGTTAGGGCGAAGAACGCTAGGAAGCTTTGAATCTCGTGCTTTGAGAGCAGTCGCCAAATCGCTTTGCTCGCGCTGATGAGACGCTCCGGCTCTGGGATGCCTCAGACGCAAATGCCGTCTCAGAAGCTTCGATGACTTGGTGACTTGACTCCGCTGCAGGGCATCCCCTTCTTGGTTTTTGTGGCCTTCATTGGTATTGAAGACTTCTGAATAATCTCTTGAATCTCCGCGTCGCCTGCAGCGTGAGTTGTCACATTTTTAGCCCATCGAGCCATGCCGCCTTCCCTGCGACATCCTCCTCCGCGCCCAGCCCGTCCTATAGACAGCGAGGACCTTTCCGAAGAGGAGGGCCTTGATCCTCGGCTCATATTGGGCTCTGGCTGCTGCTCTTTCCTCATAAAACAAGCTTGCTTCAGACCCTCGTACCTTTTCCATGACGATTTGGGATGTTCCCCCTTATACTGACAGTCCTTAATAGGGATTCTAGGTACCTCCTATTAGAATCCCATGAAGGACTGTTAGTATCAGGGGGAACATCCCAAACGATTACTAAGGAGAGATCCGCCATGTTCGAGGGCGATGAATTCGACACACTAGGCTTTGCAGCATCTCCAGACGGGGATGCTGTAGCGGATTCGGCCAAAAGCTACGCAGAGTGGTTCCCTGGCTCTTTGCTGGTGCTTCAAGAGAGGACAACACGAGCATTAGCCGGACTTTGCGCATGTCACAACATCTTTGCTCTTCGTTGGACTCGTGGCTAAGGTTTCAGACAAAAGCCGTGAGAAGGCTGAGGCGTTTGGAGTCGCGCAGAGAGAGCCCAGTCTTGCGTTTTGGAACACTATACGCAGGCAAGACATCTCAACAGACTGTCTATCTCGCGCTCTTCCGTTCTTTCTTTCTGTCTTTCTTGCTTTCCTTCCATTGTTTTCTTTATTTCTGTCTTTATTTTGCTTTGCTTCTTGATTCCCCACCCTCGGTGTGGGGTTGTTAGATTTTAAACTCAACTCTTCTCCTCCCCCGGAACTCTTCTCCTCGCCCGGTCTACTCCTCGCTCGTCCCTATCCCTGGAGTGCCCAACCCCAGAGTCTCCCTGAAGAAACCCAGAATGTCCCTGGAGCGCCTACTCTGATGGAGTGCCCCACCCCAGAGTCTGCCTAACCGAGTGTCCCTCGGGGTCTCCCTGGAGTGCCCAACCCCAGAGTGTCCCCGGAGTGCAGAGTCTCCCTGGAGTGTGCCCGGAGTGCCCAGCCCCAGATTTTTTTCTGGAGTGCCCAACCCCAGAGTCTCCCTGGAGTGCCCAGCCCCAGAGTGTCCCTGTATTTCCCAACCCCAGAGTATCTCTACCAAGAGAGGGTGGGGATGTTCGAAGAAAAAAGTAATGTATTTCTTTCTTTCTTATTTTATTTCTTTCTTTCCGTTCTGTCCCTTCGTTCCTTCGTTCTTTCGTTCCTTCGTTCCTTTCTTCCTTTCTTTCTTTTGTTATTTGTTTATTCCCCACAGGAAATCATTGGTGTGTCATGTGTTTTGTATTTATGATGAGCTTCAAGAAGTCCATCTGAGGAAGTTGCCATCACCGGGTGACTGGAGCAGCATCCCGAAGAACACGCTGAAGGCACGACACGTTTGGCCGTTTGGAAGGGAGAAATTGGGCGAAGCAGAAAGATGCAACACATTTTGGCCAACCGACACAGCACAGTTATAGAGAGCCTTCTGATCTCTGGCCCCTCAACCAGTGTAGAGACTTCGTTGCCCAGTTTGCCTCAGGCGTTGTTGCGGAAGGGCGTGCCCCACGAGCACCGGCCAGAGCTATCGGCTTGGTGCAGAATCTGTGCGCAGTTCACTTTGTGACTATCCAAACTTTGCCAGTGCAGTAGATTCCGCACTTGAGCGAAAAGCAGAATACAGCTACTGAGGCTTTGGTGGAGCATCCTAGGCTGCGAAGCTGAGCGACTTCGATCGCCCGTTTCTTTCCAGTGCCCGGCTCAATGCCTTTGCCGCATGTCGGTTCCATTGTTGAGTGACTTGTAGAACAACTTGGCCCATGTGGCCCATTGAAACTTGCCTTTGCTGTAAGAAGAATCCGTGCAGGGACCTTTGTGACCTTTCGAGGCAATACCTGGAGGAGCCAGTGGAGACTGAGACTGCTGAGACCATCGAGCGTGCCTCGTCCTTGCTGGGGCTGAAGTTTCCGTTGTAGCTTGGATTGTAGAAGTCCAGCATCGCTTGAATATGGCCCCGCTATGCTTTGAGGCAAGACCATTTGTGCATAGGGCGTGGCACAGTTCTTGTTGCGAGCTGTTGCATATATGATTACGTTTCCCAACGCTGCATCACCATCTTTGCGCCAGGCGATTTGCCACGAACGTTTCCGACTCACCAGAAATTCCGCTGCGCGGCAGGCCTTGTACTGCCACTGCACATTACAGCAGCAAAGACACACGCGGCCCTGGATGATCATCCTGGAGATTTAACTATTTAGGTCGAACGAACTGCTTGAATGGGCGGGCTTTGGTCAGGCAGGGCAGAACTTCGTAACGTGCTGCGGGCATTTTCCCGGCGCTGTCCAGCCGTGCGCTACTGTGGCTTGGCTTTGCCCTGTGCTGCTCGATCATGCACTGCTTTGAGGCGATGTAGGTGTAACCTCTATAATCGGCTGCGGATCAGCAGGCTGCGATGCCACAGGCCTCATATTGATATGATATAGTTACCAAATGAGCTTTGCAAAAGATACACTCACGACTTACTCCGTCGGAGGTCAGGGAATGAACTTCATCGCCGCCCTCCTCTTGGTAGTTTCTCAAGACGAAGAGCGTGCCTTTTGGATGTTTGTTTGCGCTTTCGATGCGCTTGGCGTGGAAGGGTACTACACTGAAGGAATGACACTCCTTCGTGCTGATATGCAAGTGCTAGCTTCCTGCATGCAGGCCAAATGCGCCAAGGTTTCCAGGACATTGAATCAGTTTAATGTCGATCTCCTGGCAATTTGTTCCGAATGGTATATCACATGGTTTGCAAAAAGCTTGCCTGTGTCCACCGTCCTTCGGGTATGGGACGCACTCTTTTTCGAGGGCTTCAAGGTCCTCTTCCGTGTGTCCATGGGTATCTTCAAGCAGATCGAGCAGGAAGTGCTCAAAAGTGACGGCTTTGATGCCATCATGCAGCAAGCGAAGTGCTGGCCAAGGAGCATCGTGGAACACAACGAGCTCATGAAGGCCAGCTTCCAAGGACTGCCATACTTTAAGAGGCAACAGCTGCGAAAGGCCAGGGAGCAGGCGTTGTGCCGGATCGAGAAGGAGGACCAGGAGCGTAAGCGTGCTGCAAAAGCCAGGCAAGAAGCGCAGGAGAGCGCTAGAAAAAATGCGTGGTGTGCCTGTGACGAGTCTATGTGTGCTTTTGCGACCAGTGACTCAGCGCATAAGAGACTGAAGGGCATTGGTGCGCAGAGTTCCTCTCCGGCATGCTTGCAAGGTGGATGGCGCAAGCATTGGTGGGACTGCGACACATACACAGCTCGAAGCCGAGCATCGTAGAACGTAGTAGTATTATGTAGTAGATGGCTCCCAGGGCTTGGCAACTGTCACACATGCGACCTGCACTCTGAGCGAAGAGCGAGGCCTGAACATTCTTCACCGAGACCTCAAGAGCGTTCCCTGTTTGCAGCGAGCAATATGGAGCAAGCTGTTGAGACAGTATCCCAACAGACGAGATCACATTGACTTGGTTGCTGTTTCACAGTAGTTGCTTGGGCTAGGGTGGCCTGGGAGGTATCAGATTGGGCAGGGGAATCACGCAGCGTTAGGGGCTTGAAGAGCAACAATATCTGGTGCGGAACGCGTGTGTTGGGCCCTTGCCTTGTGGTTCATTCTTTATTGCTCAAGTTGAGTTGGACAGTGGTTGGTTTGTGTCAAGAAGTTCATCATCCCCATCTGCAGTATCAGTATCACTCAAGCGAAGGAAAATTTGTTCCTGGAGAACGAGGACCGGCACTGCCAAACCTAAACTCACCATCCTGCATTCCACTCAGAATGCTGCAGCGAAGACTGGAGAGGACCGCGTTCGCATCGGAGACTTCGGCATTGCCTGCGCAGTCAAGGCTCCCCATAAGGCGAGACATGCTTCATCTCCAAACAACATGTTTATGGCTTCTATGCCCTCGTAGTTGCTTGCGAAATTTAAGCAGGTTTGTAGCCAAATATGGTGGGGACATGTGGGGACATGTTAAATGTTTAGGATGTCCATCCAAGAGTTGATTCGGCAGTCCTCCTGTCGGCAGGCGGTCCTTGAAGGCAATGTGGCCGTGCGCCAAGTGCTGGAGTTTCCTGGGGCACGGCATATTTGGGGTCTTAAATGTCAACAGCATGTGCTCACCCAGGTGGGAACGCCCTACTACATGAGTCCTGAAACCTGCTCCATGGGACTTCATTCCTATGCCAGTGATGTGTGGGCCATGGGCTGCGTGTTCCCGGCGACTGCTTGGAACAAATTTAGCTACACGCTGGCTGTTACAGGTTGCACTTTCTTTGTGGCCATGGGGGTTGTTGGGAGCTGTCATGGCAGGTTCTCTACGAGCTGTCAGCTTTGAAGCTCCCATATTACGTGCCTTGCTCAAGTTAGAGTTTTGCAAATTATGTCAAGGGTGCCTCTCACAACAGAGGCTGCAATCTAGCTTGCTCAGCGTCCCTGATGCAGGGCGACACTCTGGAGGAGCTCATGGCCGAGATCACAAGGAGATCATGGAAGATCCTTCCCGACGTTTACTAAAGCACTGAAGCATGATCGTAGTTCGGCAGCAGGAAGGCCGCCCCGCGCTTTCCCATCACTTACTCTGCAGAGCTGGCCCAGATCTATGCGGCCGTCTTGCGTTTTCCTCAGTGGCAGAGGGTGTGACGACAGCCTGCCAAGCTTGATGGCCTCAGGTCGCACAACCGCAACAAGAGGCCCTCAGCACCTTGGTTTGCTTCAGTTCCCACAAGTCGAGTCTCTTTGCTTGAGCAGCCGCGAGATGCTGCGAGCAAAGGCGAGCGACGTCTTGTTCATGCAGCCCTTGCACCAGACCCTTGAAGCGTTACTTCAGGAACCTCGGCAGCTCTTGGTTAGACAAATTTGCGCGAGCTTTGTGGCGAATTTCAGACATGGGCACCAGGGTTTCTCTCCCAATTTCTTTGAAAGACTCGAGGAGTCACAGAAGGCAAAGAAGGAGAAGATACCCACACGACCTGCTTCTGCACCTCCCGAGAAGAAGACGAGGGCCGCCGCTTCAGAGGCCGCTTTCTTGGTGGGGAGGGCACCGCCGAGTTGCGGACCCGTTGGGTTCTTGATGCTTCATGCAAGTGGCACGACTGCCTATTTTCAGCTCCAATCTGCCAGAGAGCATCATTTTGCGACCAAGTGGTGTTCTGCTTGTCACAGTTACATGCATAAGCCCATTTCATGAGGTCCGGAACTGCGCAAACTCACTCACCATGGCTACGGCTCAAGATTTTGAGGACAGCCTAGTTAAGCCTCTAGACATCTTGTCTCCGAAGATGGCTACTTTGATCATGCCACCGGCGTGCAAGGGCCGCTTCCAAGGCCGCATCTCCCTCCTCTTTTGTGGCTTTTGCCTGCAGGCCTCACTCTTGACCTTCGCTGCAGACGCTCCCGTAGCGGCTCGCGAAGCGACCTGCAAGGCCGACAACAAGCCAGTAGATGCAACGCAAGATGCGGCACAGATTGTCGTTGATGAAACGCAGCTTCTTCAGCAGTTCCACGCGAAGGGGGTTCTGAATGCGTCATCGTCCTTCAGGAAGTCTTCTGCCGAACTCGTTTCGGGAAGAAATATGAAGTTGGCCACCAGTCCTACGATTGGGTTCATGTACATCCTCAGCTGCAGCACCTGTGGCCAAAATGTGTGCGACGGGCCCTTTGTGGAAGAAGCCGCCACCTTCTACTACGACCCCTATGAGTTTGGAAGCCCTTCCCATTTTCCTTCCGCGGATTGCAGCAAGTTCCCAGACAATCCTCGACTTATCCGAGCTTGCCCAGAGCAAGGGGATTGCGGTGGACAGGGCCCCCAAGTGCGCCTGCTGTGTTTTCGAAATTTTGGGGTTCTCCATCACCTTGCGGCATGGACCCAGTGTGGCAGGAGCTTTTCCGATCTCCCCTACGAGCAAAACCGGAAAGGCATCGAATGTGACTATGAGATCGGCTCGGACCTGGCGACCTGGGGCTGCGACAAGCTTCCCCAGTCTCCAAGGCTTATCCACGACTCCGGGACAGGCAAAGTCTACGTGGCCGAGACAGGCTGTCAAGGTAATTCTGGGATCCTCCACCATGTCACAAGCTGCAATGAGTGCGGCTGGGGGAACTTCTGTCGCCAAGAGCTGTTCAGCGAGAACCGGGCAGATCTTACATGTGACTACGAGGTCGGTGTGAACCTGCCTACATGGGGTTGCGGCAAGCTTTCGCAAAATCCCAAAGTGGTCCATGACTCTCAGACTGGGGCCATCTATGTTGTCGAGGAGCCAGTGGCCATGTGTGCTTACGATACCTTGGCCGACGGCTCAAGTCCGGATGTGCGCACGGATGAGTTCCGCTACATTTTCAACAGGACGGGGCCGAGAGGCCTCACTTGGCCTGTAGAATGCTCCAAGGAGGACAGCCTTGCTTTTGGCAAATGCCATAAGCCCGCAGGCTCGCAACATGCTTATTGCCTGCGGAAGGGTATCTCGAGCAAGGTGCCAGGTGCACACGACTGGGGTTATTGCCGGCCATGTCCGCCCGAGGTATTTACACCAAAGTGCGCCTATGTCTCAGAGGCGGACGGGTCACGTCCATTTCCCAGGAAGGACAATTGGCGAAGCTGGACTGTTCCTGGAGAGACTGCGTGGGTGCTTGCAGCTTATGATCAGTCTTGCGCTGACGCATGCCGACTGAAAAGTGGGTCCTGGACTTGTTCAGAACATGATCTGAGGCAGGTTTACACGGAAGCACAGGCCCGTGCTGCTGTCAGAGCAGCAGGCCATGAGTGCACGAGGATGAGTTTCCGTGGAACCGCCGTGTTTGGATTCGCCACGAGAAACGGAATTGAGGGTACGTGCATGTATGGATCAGCCATGGCCAGTCCACCCAGCCCATGTGAAAGGGCCTACATGCACGGTGCCAGCTACCAGAACGTTTGCCCCTGTGTGTCTCAAGTCCCGTGGCCAAACCTTTGCTCCACTGTGCACAAGTCGGGACAGTGTGCAATGGAAACGCTGCCCCAGGAGCAAAGGAAGTACGACCACTCGTACTGTTTGAGGCCAGGAGTGACCGCGAGGCAGGACAACCAGCATGACTGGGGCTATTGCCGGGACTGCCCAGAATGGTTCCTAGCTCAGACCGACCTCGCTGCGATGTATGGCGAGACTGGCGGTGTAAAGGACTACATGAGCACCCCGCGCCAGGCTGAGGGCGGTACTTGTTGGGGTCCTCAAGAATGCAAGAACGGGCTTCGGTGCATTGGCCGTACGTGCAGACAGGCACCTATGAGCTCTTGGGGTGTCAGGAAACGGGTGGACAAAGACTGCACCGGCTCCATCTGTGCCAAGTACAACGACTACCTCAAGAAGATGCAAGACTATCAGAAACAGATTGTGCGCAACCAGAAACGCATGATCATCGAGTACCAGAGGCTGACCGCTGAGGAAAGGCGCATCAGGCATAAGGAGGGCTTGATGGTTGCATATGTGACGGCAAACCAGAGGCTGAAATTGGTGGAGGACCTTCACAGGACGGAAGCATCAAAGCTACCAGCTGGTGATCCCAAGAGAACGAGCCATGAGCAAATTGCCAACGACTTGCGGACAAGGCGCACGCCTCTGGAGCAACAGGCTGGCACCCTGGACAGGGAACTTCGCCAGCACCGCACCATGGTCGGAATCCACCGGCGGGTGCTCGATAACCAGGCCAAGCAGAATGCTGCAAAACATCGCGCCCTCATGGAGAAGTTGTACGATGATGATGTCAATAGATGGCCAGAATCAACGACAACACCGCCCGGGGAAGCGCAGAGTGATCCTAACTACCCCCAAAGAACCAGGAACCCCAAGGACTTCAAGTGGGAGGGGGCACCTTCAGATACTGAGATCAGGAATGTGCAGGCCACGCTGGACCAGATGGCTGATGCTGATCTGAAGGATCGGGCCAAGAAGAAGAAGCGTGGTGCGATGATTGGTTACCAGCAACAGGACACGGCTCGCTGGGCATCCCTTATGTCGGAAGACGGCCGCGGGATGCTGACCTTGGAAGGCAGCTACCAGTACCAACTCGGCGCATGCCCAGAAGGCCTTTGCGTGGAAGTTGGTGGTGCAGTCACGGTGGCCTACGAGCACGAGGTCTACAACTCAGACAAGGTCTCCATTACAGTTCGAGTTGAAGCGGAGGTCTATGCAGATGCAGGTGCTTCAGTCGGCTGCGGCGCAGAAGTCCAGGGTTGCCAGGTGACGGTTTCGGCCGCTGTCGGGGCCAAGACTGGGGCTTCAACCAGAGTAAAAGAAGACCTGGGCCATGGCGTGACTGCCGACTACACTGCCGCCGTGGAGGCTGGCTACATAGCCAAGGCCGAGGCGGAAGCTGGCTGCACGTCCAAGAAGGGTTGCACGGCCAAGGCCAAGGCATTCGCTGGGGCGTATGCCAAGGCGAATGCCGATTCGCAGGTCGGCAATGAGCACGTCAGCGGCAAGGTGGGCGGGTCCGTGATGGCCGGCGCTGCTGCCGGCGCAAGCGGCGACGTGAGCGGCGTGTACAGTGATGGAAAGCTGACACTGGGAGGCACCGCTTGCGGCATGGTTGGTGTGGGTGTTTGTGCGAACGTTCAGTTTGAGGTGGACTTGTCTGCTGGTGAGGACTTGGCTCAAGACCTGGGGGACTTCTTTTCTGACGTTGCCAGCTCCGACGATACTCGCGAGGCGTTGCGGGCGACATCTGAAGGCTTGAGGGAGTCCCTGGATAGCGGAGCAGCAGCGGCAAGCGCGGTGGCGAGTGAGTCAGCGACTCAGTGGAATAACCTCAAGAGGGCCGTCGGCGGCCTTTTCCTGTTACAGGACGTGGACTCCACAAGCGCGGAGATTTTCGCTGAGCTTGATCGCCTAACCGTCAGGTGCCCCGTTCATCTTGACCCGAAGCCAGTGACGAGTGATTTCGGCAGCATTGAGGAGGCTGAGGGGATGACGAAGAGGCTGCTACAGGTGGCGCTACCAAGACTTGCAGACTCGGAGACAGATTCCAACAATGATTGGGCCAAAAATGCCTGGTCGTATTTGGGCAGGATCTCGAAGGACGTCGAAAGCTGGTTTACGCAGGCCTTCCCTCAGCTGCCCGACATCCCCGACATCATCGATGACATCTCCCCCATCCCCATTCCGAACGTTCCCATCCCCATTCCGAACGTTCCCATCCCCATTCCGAACGTTCCCATCCCCATTCCGAACGTTCCCATCCCTATTCCGAACGTTCCCATCCCCATCCCGAACGTGCCCATCCCCATCCCGAGCGTGCCCATTCCCATCCCGAGCGTGCCCGTCCCCATCCCGAACATGCCCATTCCCATCCCGAACGTGCCCGTCCCGAACGTGCCCATCCCCATCCCGGGTTGGCTCTAGCTGCCGCTTGAGATTCCGGCAGCTGCAGCGATTGGCAATCTTATATTGCTCGAACATCCATGACCTGGCTGAGGGGGCTTGTGTAGCAGTGAGGCCATCATACGAAGGCTGCCGAAGGCTGTAAAGCTGATCCCACTCAGGCGTTTGCTTCTAATTTGTATTTGGTGCTTATGAGGGTTCTCCGAAAGTGCCACTGAGTCCAGCTATGCATCAGCCAGAGTGGCCAGCATAAGGCCAGCGCAATTCAATGACTTGCATTTTTGATTTGATCAAGCCAAGCTGTCGGGAACCTACCAATGGCCCTTTGGCGATGATACCTTGACCGCAAGTTCCACCCAAGTGAGCATGCTTCTGTGTGCCGTGCTACTATATACTGTCCTAGTGACTATGCGCCAGCGTCGCCACGCTGGACCCCCACAGAAATTTTGCGGACAGCGCGGAACAAGGTGAACAAATCCGTACCGGTCTTGCACGCAGCGGGGAAGGCTAGAAACGCCTTGCTCCCACACACATCTTCGTTCGCAGGCTTGCTTACCTAGGTGCAGGCCAAATCCATTTTTCGCAGACAGTCGCCCCGAAGAAGATCGAACAAGGTTTCGAGCGCAGGTCTTAGGTGCACTCAACCGAGGGAGCCCTGTCATGGAAAGCGCGGTCTCCGGAGATCTGAGTCAGAGCTGAGCAGCTACACCCTAAAGCAAAAACAAACCTAGACAGCCTCTGGACAGTCTTGTCCGAAACGCCACGATTGTTCCTTGCAGAGTGGGTAAAAAAGGTACCACATGGTACGTGCAGTGCGGGTGGCAAAAGCTCCTTGCCCAGGCTATGCAGGCAGCCGAGGGAGACACCATTTACCCTTCCCTGGACGCAGCGCCGGATGAGGCTTGCCTAGCCAGAATGCCGCTCGTACGTTTGAGTGGGCTAGGCGCTTTTTTTCGTTTCCGAACTTTGTGGGCCTTCCCAGGGTGATGCGGCGCAAATGCCTGGCACTGCGGCACCGCTCGGACCCAAGTATTGAAGATGCGGAACTAACTCGATGTCGTATGAGCCCTTGCTTATTTGTTCGCTCAGCACTTACTTCTCTACATTCAATCCATTCTATGTATATATATATATATGTATATCTCTTCGAAGTTCCCACCATGACTTGAAAAAACAGCCAGACTGACATCACGCTCGTTGTGTATTTCATTGTGTTAGGAATGTGTAGCAGACATTCTGCAGGATGTTGAGATCCGGCGGGGAACGCTGGGTGCGGATGGTCACGAAAGCGCTACTTAAGTGGCAGTAGAGACGGCGACGAGGAGAAGGAGGAGATGAGGCTGAAACAAAATCTAACAACCCTCACCTGACAGGTAGGGAAAACTGAAAGGAGTCTGGCAGACCTCGGCAACAGGATGAGAACAAAGCATCTCGAGGCTCGCTGGCGAAGAGGACTGTGCATGCAATGCCTGGAAGTCCCAAGGATGCAATCCGATGGTCGCGGTTGAGGTCCGGTGGGGAACGCTGGGCGCGGATGGTCACGGAAGAGGTCCGGCAACGGCGAGGCGACGAGGAGAAGGAGGAGAAGGAGGAGGAGGAGTGGCAGTAGAGGAGGCGACGAGGAGGAAAAGGAGAAGGAGGAGATAGGGCTAACATAAAATCTAACAACCCGCACCTGACAGGTGGGGAACAAACACAAACACACAGGCACGCAGGCACGCAGGCATGCAGGCACGCAGGCACAGAGGCACAGAGGCACGGAGGCACGGAGGCACCGAGGCACAGAGGCACAGAGGCACACACACAGACAAACACACACAGACAAACACACACACACACACACACACACACACACGCACACAAACACACACCCACGCACACACACACACACACACACACACACACACACACACACACACACACACACACACACCACACACACACCCCACACGCACACACACACACACACACACACACACACACACACACACACACACACACACACACACACACACACACACACACACACACACACACACACACACACACACACACACACACACACACACACACACACACACACACACACACACACACACACACACACACACACACACACACACACACACACACACACACACACACACACACACACACACACACACACACACACACACCACACACACACACACACACACACACACACACACACACACACACACACACACACCACACACACACCACACACCCACACCCCACACACGCGCACGCGCACACGCACACACACACACACACACACACACACCTACCTCTCTGGCAAGTCACGACCCCCGCATGGAATCTTTGGCTGATTCCTAGAAAACTGTAGGCAGGCGCGGACTGTGTCCCATCCTCATATCCAAGTTGTCTGGAGCTTCGTTAGCCCACGCCACGCCACGCACCCACCCATGCACTCACGCATGCGCACGCGCAGAGGCGCGCTCAGAAGCGCGTGCAGAGCCACACCCAGAGACAGAACCACACATCTGTATACTTATTTGTTTGAATCTATGTGTATTCATGTACATTTGGTACATGTGGGCATATCTATGTTGAACTTTTATCGGACACGAAACCGCGCATGACCATTCCAGGAGCACGGCATGAGCACTCCAAGATAAGGTCCAAGACCACTCCGAAAGCAGTCCGAGACTTTCCCAGACCACTCCTTCATGAAAAAAACGCTTCAAGAAGGAATGTATGGGCATATGTTATTAATAAGTAGAGAGATACTACACTAATGTTATTAATAAGTAGAGAGATACTACACTAACGAATGTTTACATGTTTTCACCTGGGGGGCATCCAGGTTCCGCAGGCTCCAGGAGCTGCGGCGCAACGCCGGCACACCTTTGCCAGGCAGAGGGCACAGGGTTTCGGGTTATGAAGCAGGGTTTACATAACTGTTTTTGGTGAGTGTGTATAAGGTTCCTTGATAATATTGGTGAGTTCATAGGGCTTCGAGGACTGGCCGAGCTCAGACAAGCCCGTGTAAGAAAAGGGGTTTAGGGATCGAGGGGCCTGGAAGTGGGAAAGACGGGCAGTGTGGAACACGATGGGAGCAGAGACCATCTCAATATTTCCTGCATGGTTTATATCAGACACTGGTGGGAACAGGCATCAGCAAAGCATGGAAGACAAACAACGTTTCGTGCCAGTTCGGTGCGCTGCCACGCCGGCGGAGGCTGGGAAAAGGGTTCGGTGCTACCGCAATGTAGGAGTTGTTCTCATCTACTGTGTCATCCCTTCTGAATGTCCTTGGCGGCATGTTCCTTATGTTTAGGGTGCCGCAAAGAGCCCACCCAGGAGCTGCCACCTCTTCGGCCGTCCAGCGCTCGCCACTTTGCCCACCTGATGGAGCTGTCCAAGTGGGTCAAAACAGTACATTATTTATCATACATACATACATACATACATACATACACACACACACATATATATATTTATTTATTTATTCATATGTCATATTCATATAGTAGTATATGTCAAATTGGACTATAGCCATGCGTCTGATACAGCCGTGCGGATTCGAGGGTGTCAAATAGAGATGATAAAGTCATAGTGGAAGGTGCAGCAAGTAGCCTCCATCGCTCGAGGCGTACGCAGCGCCTCCTCCCGGAAAGATCCCCAGCCGCCCCTCAGCTGAATCCATCGAATCCAGGGACATCACGCTGGCCTATCAGCCCTAAACCCTGGTCCTAAAACCCGAAACCCTACATAAGCCCTAAACCCTAAACCGCAACGCTGTGAGCTGGCCGCCTTGGCCTGCCGTGGCTTGTGAACTGGAAACGGCAGGGAAGCGCGCCCCAAAAAGCCCTTGCCCTACAGGGCGAAGCCCTGTGGATAAGAGTTATGAATAAGAAGGCCTGGAAAGCTTCGGCCCTCACATACCCTCAGCCTTCAAGGCTTGGACCGGTTGCCCTCAACCTTCGACCCCTACCCGTTTTATAGAGGGTGTCCAATAATCACGAACTGGGGGGGGGGGGGGGGGGGGGGGGGGGGGGGGGGGGGGGGAGGGGAGGGCAGGGCAAGATAACTGACAAGCAAGTCGCAGAGAGCGCGGCTTTCAACAGGTCGACGCAGCAAAACACAGTCAGAGCTTCTAATTATTATCAGAGTTTGCGGCCTGCGTGTCAAAGTCCATGTTTTGTTGGTTTTGCGATGTCCCCGTTGGGCGTAGCGTGGACGTACCCCACAGTCCAGGGGGGGCGGGGGGGCAGAGGGGCCTATAGCGTCTGGGATATCTCTCAAGAAATCACAAGATTCTGCGAGCTTGCTTTTTGATTCGGGTACAAATGCAGGAGCCAGGTACGCACTCCCCGCATCGCGGGGGACTGCCAACGGCTGTTGTCGAGGACCGGACCTGTCCTCTGCTAGGGCTTCCGGAGTTTCCGGGGAGTCCCCAGTTCATCTCACTTCCCAAGATAGTCCCAAGATGCACTCCCGCCTTTGAACCAGCGAGGCATCCAGCTGCATCGGCATTTTCAGGCGCGGTGCATTCCACGCTGTCGTTGTTAGCACTTAAGACTGGATGTCAGCAGGCCCATGCTCTGGGGACCAGATGCCCGAGCCTCCAGCACAGGCCGGCTATCGGAATGTTGAGGCCCGGTTTTGGGAAGCAGCGTTGATGAGGACCAGGGGAGCGCCACATGTGAGCTGCAACAGCCCGAGTTGTACTTGCAGGGAAGTCGCGGCCCGGCCACCAACACGCTGCTGAATCGAGCCTTGGCGATGAGAGACATTTGGGGGGGTGAGGAGTGGGGGCGGTGGGGAGTTTGGAGTAGCAAGATACTGTACTGACACTTGGGCCTTTGCCTAGGTCGCCTCGTCGTCGCGAAAGCCAGTGCGCAGCATGGCCTGCAGACAGACATATAACATATATATATATATCTATATATATATATATTTATTTATATTTATTTGTTTATTTATTTTTTGTTGTGCTATAACATGTGGAAGTGAGAAGCCAGAGGCAGAACACCAGTTGCGTTGAAGTTTCAGGGGTTTACTCGTGATGCCTGATACGGCAGTACTTCCCCCAGATCTAGGAGTCGAAGTTGAGAAACCCCAAACAGCCCAGGCCAATGACAGATCGCCAAAGAACTCTGCTGTTGAATGTAGAAAGCCGCGAAGAAATTCGTCAACAAGTTCACCTCCAGCAAATTAAAAAGTCAAAGTGAAACCTGTTAATTTCGGGAATCCGCTACTTCATCTGCTTTCATTGCTGCGCCCTCTAGACGCAGAATACGATTCCAAGCACGTAGTGTTGTGACGAATTGGTCCCCCGAGTCCACTTGCCAGCAAACAAAGCAAAGCGCTCGAAGGCTGGATGCCGCAAAGTCGCTGTCGCAGGCTGTTGCGCGAAGTGCACGTCAGGCCGAGGGCATGGGTGGGTGGGGGGAGGGGGGGGTCACTTGATTTCAATGTCCACGTTGGGCGTTGCTGGTTGCCGTTTCAGCTGGACATCGTAGTGGGTGGCTCAAATTAGATCGAACAAGCACATACAAGCAGCTCCCCCGTCCTCATTTGCGTGCTTCCACGAGTCTACTTGAGGCCCTGCGGCGCGGAACACAGCAACCGAAAAAGGCCAGGCTGGCAATTCAAGCGATGGGGTAGGGGAGGTCTGGGGTTGATTGCCCTGCCCTAAACCCCGGAGATCTTCATAAAGTTTGCTGTGTCTGGTCAGATCCCCGACTCCGTGCTTGCTGGCATCGTCCACGAGGCCCCTGTATCTTGTGACATGCATTGGCGTGTTTTCACTTTTTGTACTTGACGTGCTCATTATTATAGGCTCACCTGTCGAAAAGGCATACATTTGTGTATATTTGTTGTGACACCGTGATCAAGTCCTGCCACGGCTGAGCCTGGCCAGGTTTACGCCGAGAGCGCGACAGCATCACGCTCCCAAGTTCGCAGCTGGGCGTTAAGAGCGTTTGATCTTCGGAAGCCAAAGGAAGCAACAGGGGAGACAGAGAAGATTTCAGAGTGGCAAGCAAACATGCGAGTCCGGCCCCCGGCAGCCTAACTTCGCATAGCTCCACAGGTAGTCGTGCAATGGTTCGCAGTGAGTCTGAGCCGCCAGTAGAGATTTATGCAGAGTGAGTGCAGCTGCTGAGACGGACGGCCCCTGCCCTGCAGACTTATGTGCGTGGGCGTACTGGAAGGTTGCATCCTTGTGGAGCACCAGCCAGACCAACACCGTCACAAGTATCACAAGTATGTATAGCCGGTACGTCTGCAAATAAATCTGGGCCCGGCTGTCCCGATGCAAGACAAGAAGGTCCTTGGGAGGTCTTGGAATTCGGCGTGTTGGCTCCGTTTCTGACACCAGTTTTACGAGGTGCTGAAGCAGGAACCTGGCTTTACTGAGTGTGCATGCTCGTCGCTTGGACTTTGGTCATGGAATACCACTTCTCGTAGCAATTTGAAGTAGAGACTCCCTCATATGTTGATCGAAAGTCCGAGATTTTTTCCTCAACTGCAAGAAGACTCTGGGATGCAGCCTGCAGTGGTCTGTCCAGTTTCTTCCACCTGCAGTGTGGACAGCCTTCAAATAGGTTCGAGTAGCCCATCAAATGGGGACCAGCGCTCTTAGCGGCCAAACGGCCCTCGACGCAAGTGGCACGTCTCCAGCAAAGTGCGCCTAAAATCGCGGATCGTGCATGATCATGCTGCACCAAGCGATCGTGCACCCAGCTCAGTAAGACCTGCTTTGCACTGGAGGACAATCGGAGTCGTACGCACAGCGGGGCAAGATAACGCCAGCTTCTGGAGGTTCAGATTGCGTTGAGACCGCCCAATACATGCTCAGTCATGGCTTCAGCTGTTCGTGACGGGCCAGCACCACGCCTTCCAGACATCTTCTATATTCCAGTTGTGATCGATGCACAGGTGCTTTGGCGCGGCTGCTTGCCGAGCGCCGAAAGAACATGCTGCCAAAGAGTGTAGGGGCTTTCATTGCCTTGTATGCTGATGTGAAGCAACCCATCCGCACCGACCATGAGACATTTACGACTACAGTGCACAACTTGGATCGTTGGCTCATCCACGAACTTGGACCACGGAATCCGGGAGGCTGCCCGAAGGGCTCGTACTCCTTGATTTTTGGTGGCAGAATTTACTGTGCAAAGGTCTCCGTTGGTGCCTCAGCTCATCCCTGCAAAGCTCACTAGCACAGCATATACCGTGTCATGACAAAGCCTGCTGCACGGTGTTTTTCAGTATTCATTCATAGCACGTGCTTGGCACCACGGACGATGAGAACCACAGATGGAGGGCAGCAGGCTGACTGCATCAATAACTCCTGAGAGGATGTATCAAATCTTGCCCATCGATTAATCACATGCACCTACACAAGCGAAGACTGCCGGGGGCGTGCCCCCTTGCCCTCTTCTTTGTAAGTTTTCAGACTTGTCCTGAGCAATGAGGGATCGCTTAAGGCATCTCCACTGCGCTCCAAGAAAAGGCATTCAAACAGGGCGTGAGCGGACGAGTTCTTTCTTTCACTTTCACCTTGTTTTCGTCTCGGGCCGTGGTCTTGCCATTGGACAACAGCAAATGAGTTCCCCCGAATGTCAAATCAACGTTTGGCGTTATTGGTGAGTAGGTGGTCCGGGCTGGTCGTTCCATGATGGCTCTGTTTGCACGCTGAGGAATCCGATCCATCACCTGCTTGCTACAGGCAGTGTAGGTTTGGTGCTTCATGTGGTACTCTCGACTCTCGAGATTCTTGAGAGCAAGTTTTCTGGCATGACTCGCCTCAGTGACGCGGTATCAGGCAGCAGCATACTCGCGGTTTGTCTGGACATCGGCACGGACCCTGCGTGACCTAGCAAGCAAAGGGCTGGCATGCGGCGTAG